TGGCGCTTCGCGCAGCGGACTATACTATTCTAACTCCAGAACGGTAAGTTGGACCTCCTGTAAGTGGAAGTTTTCGGGAAATTTAAGAAACCTGCAATTTGATAATCGAGTTTTTCCGTAATAAATTAAACGATAATACGGATTATGAAAAAATCTACAGATATAAATCAACTACACTTCTAAATACAGTAAAATAAAAATGTATTCAGCATTTATTAAAGTACATTCGACTGTGTGTCCTAATTCCCCACACATAAACCCCTATAACCACCGTTTTTGTAGGAAACCATGTGGGGAGTAGAGATTAATGAGTGGGCCTACATGAGCTACTGTTGCCTTCTGAATTATCAAGTGGGAATTTTTGCAACTTTAAAATATATGAGGTTGTTTCTTTTGTTTGTTAAGTTCACTTGAGGTGCAAAATGCTGTCTACTAGCAAAGAGTTTGATTTAGATCAGTAAACTGGGGGCCAAGTGGGGTCAAGTGGAGCGAACTCTAACGTTTGTTGACATCCAAGGGATTTCCTACGCTATTAAACGCCGCGGAAAAAACTCCTCGTTATTGCGCTTTGAGCTATAAAAGAACATTATTGAAAAACGAAAACTTTTAAATTCTATATGCTTCGAGAACAGAAAATTTTGTTTTGCGTTCATGAAATCGAGGTTAGTGCAACTATAAGATAGCGCATTATTTTCATAAAGAAGAGTGAAAAACGACCATTTCTTTATTGCTGTAGCACTTTGGGGGCCGCGGCTTGGACTCTGTTTGAGTAATAGGGAGTTACTTGTAAAAATCCTTGGCTTTCATGAGTTAGACAATCTACTGTATATATGTATAAACTCCTTTCAAAGTGCACTGCATAGGTCTTTGTCGACCACCTACTCAGCTGACGAAAGGGTTTCCGACCTAAAAACTTCCGATATGGATGTGCTGTGAGCTTGGTTATAGGTCGCGAATCCACCACATTAATTATATCAACCAGCCTAACTAAGAAGTACAGGACAACACCAGTAATTATTTAACGGTAGGATTCATAGTCATGCTGCATGTCTAGGATTCGGTGGATGACTTGCAGTGTTGTCGGTTACGTTAAAACAAACAAAAGGGACCAGATTGCTAAAAGTCAGTTAGTCTGGCACAGTCCGGCGTAGTAATCTACACGAGATCGGATACTGGCGTAAAAAAGATGCCAAAGGATAAATGAAAGTTAAGAAGGAATACGAAGACGATTCGCAGAGTAAACAGAAGAAGAAGGAGATTTTCTTGCAGACAGAGCATTAGATGTTGATGCGAAAGTTGTAGTTGGTGGCGGCAGATATTGTGCAAAAGGGAGTAGAAGGAATCGAGGGATAGAGAGTAAGGGAGACAGATAGTGGACCACAAGGCTCCCTCGGAGGAGTGCCCGGCACGGCACCTTTGAGCCGGTCCACGTGTACTAATTCCTTGTGAGTTTTGCGATGGACGAGTAAATTATTTGTCCGTCGACAGGCAACTCGTAACGGGCCGTCTTCCGGTTGTTCCTGTGGTCGGCGGTCTCGATCAC